AGACCAAAAACTCATGACTTCAGAGGAATCCTTATGTTCAGCAAGCCAGTGGACAAATGTAAAATATCAGAGCATTACAGTCATGGGAGTTAGTGTGTGGAACACCTGTACAGATGAAATCAGGAAAAGTACGTCAATACAAAATAATAAATTGCATCAATATAGGAAATCTTCCTTTCAGTGACTGAAAGAGCAAAATACCCCAATAAATTATTATTGGGATAACATGTTCATCAACGTTAATTGAACAATTCAAGAGCAATGTGATGTTACGGTATAGAAAGCTGTGCATGTGTGGCATGGTGGCCAAGTGGAAAGGCGTTGGTCTCGTAAACCAAAGATCATGGGTTCAATCCCCATCCGTGCCTTTAGTACAGAACCTGTTTGGTTCTGTACTTTGGTGATCAAGTTGCTTTGAGTGGTGCAAACACTCTACTCCCAATAACCAGAGACATTAAACATGACTGTGGTGCAACAACATCACTATTGTTGGCGCTTTACTCAGAGTGAATATCAGTTTCCTTTATTCACAGGTTTAGATATTTAACAGAATATAACTCACGTTGTGAAGAGTCAAAGTGGACGATCCAAACAGGATATCTGACAACAGGAGACATTCACAAATGCATATTTACACTGATGATTCATATTAATGTTAACTCATTCACTGCCAGCCATTGGCAGTGAATGAGTTAAACCCATTGACTCATTCACTGCCATTGACGTCTATAGCCGTCAATGGCAGTGAATGAGTTAATAATGACAAATTAAATAATTGGTTGAAACAATAAAGGGAAAGGAGAGTCTTCTAGTAGTTGTAACATTTTTGACATTTCTGTCTGTAAATTGGAGCTCTTTCAAGGTAGTGGATTGAAAATGTAATGCAAAGTATTTACATGTCTCGGCTATTAAATAGTGCAGCTATTTTCTCTGCAGCACAATTACCCATTGCATGGTGTGGTCTCAAACACAAAGAGTGAAATGTTACAATTAACCCCATAGTCTGGATGAGTTGTAACATATCCTGGGGTGAAATGTAACACAATGAAATAAGGGTACTAACAAAATATTAACATGTAATCTTTGTTT